TGTCGCATATGCAATGGCAGGCATCACACTCTACTATGCCGAAGTTCACCAGCGCAAACTCCTCCTTTGAAAGAGTCCAAACAGCAGGCACAAACCACACCTCAGGCACCAGCGAAACCGAATCAGACTGGCATCCCACCACGTGTGCATCAGTGACTACACCATCCAATGCAGACATTCGCTACTATAGGCAATCGGGTTATACTCTTGGCAACAGCACAAATACGCATCTTAATGGCTTTGGCGATATCGACTCGTGTCGAGCTCTATGCGATCCAGGCTCTCAGGTAAGTCTAATGAGTACGCGATATTTTAATCAACTGGCTCTGCGGAAGCAGAAAAGTGCATTGCAATTACAAGGCGTTGGCAGTGGCAATCGCTCATATACTAATGGCCGGGCAGTCTTGCGCATATTTTCGACTGTCAATGCTTTATTTGGCTTGGATGTTGAATTCTACATCATCAACAAAATTACCTCAGCAATCCCTGTGGCTCCAATCATGGAAAACTGTTGGCAGCATTTACGCAATTTGCCTTTGGCAGACCCGAAATTTGGCGAAACTGGTGTTATAGATGCATTGCTTGGCTATAACCCCCAGACGTATGGGGCCAATTGTTGGCAGATGGCATAGTTCGTGGCGAACTTGATGATCCTGTGGCACAAAATACGCAATTAGGCTGGGTTGTATTCGGACCAGCTGAAGAAACCGTGCATAACTACAAGGCGGAACAATCTATGGCATTGCGTGTGGAGGCGCCTGATGAGCGAGTTGATGACCTTCTACACAGGCTATTTGAATCCAAAGAAATTGAGATGGCTAAAGGCGATACACTAGCAGCAGTTGATCTTTGCGAGTGCATTTTCATGAGCACCCATAAGCGTTTTGATGATGGCAGTTATTGTGTACAAATACCATTTACATCAGATGCTCCACCACTTGGCAATTCACATCAGATGGCACTCAGGCAATTTCACCAGTTGGAACGAAAATTGGCATCCAGCTCAGAGCTGAGGCAAAGATATGTGGCTTTTATGCGCGAATACGAACAACTTGGTCACATGCACCCTATTCAGCATCATTCAGGCGACCCATCTCAGGCATACTACATTCCACATCATGCAGTCATGGCAAAATTCCGAGTCGTATTCAATGCTTCCGCAAAAACATCGAATGGCATATCATTAAATGATACACAACTCGTTGGCCCCCCAATACAGGATTTTTTACTTAACCTTTTGCTTCGCTTCAGGCAGCATCGAATAGCATTCACAGCTGATGTGGAGAAAATGTTCAGGCAAGTCAAGGTTGACGAGAGGCACAGGCAGTGGCAACAGATCCTCTGGCGGGAATCATCCGATCAGCCCATTCGCACATATCAATTGGCTACCGTTACATATGGCACAACCAGTGGCACATATTTGGCTGTTCGCACTATGCAGCAATGTGGCAGAGACAATTCTTATAAACTCTCAGATGAATTACGAGCTAAAACTGCTTTGCACAGCATCCTGAATGTTTTCTACGTAGATGACTACCGTAAGAGTACACCTTCTGTTGGCATGGCGATTCAACTGGCGGCCGATGTCTCATCCGTTTTGGCAGACGGTCAGTTCCATCTCAGGAAATGGAAATCGAATAGCGCTGAAGTCTTGGCGCATCTTCTTGGCGATGCTGATCCATGTCAGCTTAATCCGCACTTGGCAGAAACTACTGTTCTTGGCTTACACTGGGATCCACTCACTGATGAACTCTTCTATCAGGTCAGCTCTTATGATGCACAACATCTTACGAAAAGGCAAGTGCTTAGCGATGCAGCAAAATTATATGATCCAATTGGCATGTTGGCACCAGTCATCATTACGGCTAAACTTTTCATACAGAAACTCTGGCAGGCAAAATTGGCACGGGACGACCCATTACCACTTGAACTGTTGCAAGAATGGCTCATATACCGAAGGCAGCTGTCCCAACTGGAGGCAGTGCGAATACCGCGTTGGATAGGCATGCAACCCGGATATCAAATACAACTTCACGGCTTCTGCGATGATAGTGTCAAGGCAATGGCTGCAGCACTCTATTTGGCAACAAACCACAATGGCAGTATCACTAGTCACATTATCGCATCAAAAACTAAAGTGGCACCATTACATTCGGTAACAGTACCCCGATTGGAACTTTGTGCTGCGCAATTGTTGGCTACTCTTTTACACGAAACAAGGCAGGCTTTGCATTTGGAGCACGTACCATACACTCTATACACCGACTCAAATATTGCTCTATGTTGGCTACGCAAAAACACATCACAATTAAAGCAGTACGTTGCTAATCGCGTTGGCTGCATTCAATCGATGACAGATATCAAGCATTGGCATCACATTCCTACCAAGCTCAACCCAGCTGATTGCGTCAGTCGTGGCATATTCCCTTTGGCGTTGCAAAACCACGCATTATGGTGGCACGGTCCTAATTCAACTGATTATTCAATCAATGAGCTGCACCACTGTGCACCAGCAGAGCTGGCAATAATGGAAGGCGAGTTAAAACCAGTTAAGGTAAAGGCATTGCAGGTAATAGGTCAACCCGCATTACAGACACACTACACTGCTGGCGACGAATTGGTCGTCATAGATCTGTTGCACCGGTTCAGCCATCTTGGCAAGCTATTGCACACTACTGCATACATATTGCGTTGCAAAAAGGCACATCATCGTTTTCGTTCGCATACACACATCTGTACAGGCGAAATGGACATTGCTTTAAATCACCACATCAAGGCAGAACAAGCGAAATATTTCGCAGTTGAAATCAAGCAGCTAAAAAAGGCACAGCCCATATCCACATCCAGCAAGCTCATTGCACTGAGTCCATTCATCAACTACACAGCGGACAATATATTGCGAGTAGGCGGACGCCTACACAATGCGAGGGTGGCAGAGCCACAGCGTCATCCAATCATTCTTCCGAAGGATAGCACATTGGCCAGGCTTTTAATATGGCAGGTGCATCAGGACACACTTCATGGCGGTATACAAATTATGCTTCATACGATTCGACACAAATATTGGATTCTACAGGCACGCATTTTGGTTAAGCAATGCATACACTCATGCGCGATTTGCAGGCGGCATAAACACATAATGCTACAACAACGTATGGCGACATTACCAAAGGCTCGGGTCACCCCATCTCCACCATTTGCAAGATCTGGCTTAGACTATTGCGGTCCATTCAACATACGCATTGGCTCCAAGGCTGTACGAACCGTGCGGAAGGCTTACGTGGCAATCTTTGTGTGCATGGTAACCAAGGCAGTGCACATCGAACTGGCTGAAGATCTCACTTCTGAGGCTTTCATAAATGCATACACCCGTTTCGTAAACCGGCGTGGTCCATGTAATCATTTATACAGTGACAATGGCACTACATTCATTGGTGCAGATCGCTTAATGGCCGCTGACTTACAGGCTTGGGATAATGAATATTTTCAACAGCAATTGGCAAATCGAGGCACAAAATGGCATTTTCTACCACCTGGCGCACCTCATCAAGGCGGTCTATGGGAAGCTGCCGTTAAGTCAGCGAAGAAGCACTTACTACGCATTGTTGGCACCCATTCCATTTACTATGATCAGCTACATACTCTACTTGTACATATCGAGGCTTGCTTGAATTCACGTCCACTTATACCATTGCATGACACTTGTGACGACAAGATGACTCTATCACCTGCAGATTTCCTAATTGGCAGATCTCTATTGGCAGTACCAGATGAACCTATTGGCAAGGTACCTAGCAACAAATTATCATACTGGCGACAATTAAGGCAAATGCAACAGCATTTTTGGCGGCAATGGCATGATGAATATCTATCAACTTTGCAACCACGTTCCAAATGGCATCAGAATGGCGACAACATCAACATAGGCGATGTCGTGGTTATCCGGCACGAGAATCTACCAGCAACACATTGGCGGCTTGGCAGGGGGATTAAACTTCACCCAGGCGAAGATGGTTTGGTACGAGTAGTCACGATCAAGCATTCAGCAGGCGAATGCATGCGACCTATCCAAAAGATATGCAGGCTTGTGGAGCATCCTGAACGTACCCGTCCAGCCGGGGAGGATGTTTGAGATTTGGCACAGCAACTAGGCGATATGGCAGCACACATTTAGTAGTTTTTGACGATGGCATCCTAACATCTGGCAGCGATAATTTTGGCTTCGTTTTTTTGCTTTTTCTTTCTCCTTCTTCTTTACTTGACTGGCATAGAGTGTGCACGTTTTTTTGGCTTGGCGAGATATAAATTATTCTAGTCTAATTTTTCCTAAATTGAATGAATAAATAAACTTTTGCGTGTGTGTAAATAAATCGTGTTTGTTTTTCATACAACTAACAATAAATTTTCGCTGCTAATTGCTGTATTAAAATATTTGAAAAAAGAAAAATAGATAATTAACTGTCCTTAGCCAAAGCTTCTTCCAATTTCGTTACCATGTCGGGCGTTATTCTTGAATAGCCGGGTTTATATAGTTTCTTTTGAGTCGCTGAGTACCATCGCTTTGGGTAAGGTTGCTTGCAAGTGGATTTTGATGGTTCCTGAGTTTGATTTTGTACTTTTGTGTGTTGCTGATAATTACATCTGTGACTGAGTCAATTCGAAGATCTCTATGAACATTTGCGTTTTTTATATACCAGGGGGC